CAGTGGAGGGTGAGCCACATAGGCGGTGGGGCAAGTTTGAGTTGTTATTCAGTGTAGGCAGCACGAAAACTAGTGTCAAGAGAGCGGAGGTGGGTGACTAGATAAGAGACAGTCTTGAACGAACCCAAGTCAGGGAACACAAATGACATGAGGAGGAGGCTGAGGGAGACAGAGGAAGGGGTGCTATAACGAGCAACAATAGCATAGTACACGACATTTGTCGAGTCGCACTAGAAGTGGATGGCCTCGGTCAAAGGGAGGTCGGAGAGGGCGTTGAGGACAATGGAATTGCGTGCTTCCCAGACGTCACGCACCAAAATTGCCTATCGTACTCTGTTGCTAAGTAGCGGTGCAAGAACTACGCAGAGAACCAGGGTGCGGAAGGGCCTGAAGAGTGTCTGGCGCGTGAGCATAGAGGTGGGCGCCATTCTGACGATGACTCTTGAGGTAGCGTTGCACCTGGGTAAGCCACGTGTTAAATTCTATCGCACGATCCTTGGAATTGAAATTGAACCATCGGGAGGATGCCATACTAGGTGCAAGGAGCGAGACACGTCAGAATAGGAGAGAGCAACGAGGAGGAAAGCTAACATGAAACCCCTAATCATGCTAGGAAAGGCGAAGGAGCGACAACCACAGTGAGTAGGGCTACTGGCAGAAGGCATGGGAGGGTGCTGATGTGTGGTTGCAGTTGCAGGCGCATGCAGCTGCAGCTGTAGGCGTACGTAGGTGCAATACGTGCAGTCGCTGTCTGTGCACGAGACTGCTGCTCTACGTGTGGCTGCCGCTGTGCGCGCGGCCGCAGCTGTGCGCGCGGCTGCTGCTGCACGCACGGTTGCTGCTACGCATGCGGCTGCTGTAGTGTGCGGCTACTGCTGCGCGAGCAGCAGGTCGCGTGCAAACGTGCGCGTAGCTGCGCGTGTGCAACTGCGTGCGCGCGGCTTCGTGCGCATTGCGGCATGTGCGCGGCTGCTGCCGAGGGTGGGGCGAGGGCTGCTAACGGGCGGGGCGAGAGTTGTGAATGGGCGGGGCGGGCCGCACTAGGAACGAAACGGGCCTGGGAACGGAGCAGGCCTAGGAATGAAGTGGGCCTAGAAACAAAGCTGGTGTAGGGACGGAGCAAGAATAGGACCTAATGGCGATAATACCATCTCAGAATACGAACAGCAGATAGGTGAACTAAGAAAAGATGGATGTACAATTGCAATCTACTCTACTGTGTGCCTCACGAAAGCCTAACACACAAATACCGTACATGATTTGACACATTGGTACAGAAGAAAATCCTGAACTTGGGCTTTAAAAGCCTGATAGGGTTTGAACGTGATGCTACTGGCAGTCATTGAGCACGTGCTGTCACATGCTGAACGTAAGCCAGAGACAACTGCATTTTCAGTGCCTGCAAATTATCAGAAAGCACACGAATAAAATCTGTCAACCATGAAGTATGTACCAAAAGTACCGGTAAAACATGAATTCCTCCTTTTCATTCGATTATTGAAACTCACCTCCAGCTCCTTGATGAATTCCACTGCAGTATGCAACAACGAAACCATGTCTGTTCGAGAAGAAAAATTACCCGGGTGCCTCTTGTGCATCCATGCCGCAGGGATGGCTTTCTCGAGCCGTTTGAATCCAGCACTGCAGAATAAGGGGCAGGACAGAACCATACACAGCGACTTGAAGCCCAACCGGCCATGTACAAGTTAAAATGGTTCTAAGAACAGTTCAGCTTACCTCACCCGGTGTCTTCTAAGCTTCTCCGTGGCACTTTTGCGGCAAATAGGCTGCCGCTTCAAGCCCAGCCTGTTGGCACCGCCAGCTTGCTTCCTCTCAGTTAAATGTGCACAAGGTGCTGGCTTTGCTGCCCCTGGAGTTGCTCGTTGAGCAGATTCAGCGGCAACAGCAGGTGGAGGGCTCCCAGCAGCAGACCCGACCATAGGGAGCGTGGATGCAATGGCCGAAATTGGAGCAGGAGATTCTGCTGTTGTCCTTGGAAGATCTAAACCAACAGCGGCACATTGACTTGTCTTGACAATGACAGGAGCAGATACAGGAGATTCATTCCCATAAAAAACAAGCACACTTGCCGTAGGGTATGGTCTAGCCCCAAACCTAGCACTGCCACCGCTGACACTGGTGGCACTGGTAGCTGCAATGAGTGAGCCTGTACTGGTGCTTCTGTCAGGACTTCTGGAAATGGTTTCTTCACGCACCAAACACTGCCTTATCTGAGGGCGCATGGCTGGAGGCTCGGCGATCGAATCTCCACCGCACCAGCTGGAAGAACCCTTGCGGTTGAACTTCAATCTTCCCGACACAATCATGCCGTGTAGGGTCCCATCATGGGTTGATTGCGCTGCATCTCGGGTTGCCAGGAATGCATCATGGGTTGCCAGGCGGCCTCCTGCTGCTTGTGTTGGAGTTGCTCGCTCTGATGTTGGCAGCAGTGCCACTTCTTGGCCGAGAAATTGAACAGGGGATTGCAAAGCCGCGTTGGGCGTACGCGATGCAGCAGCAGCAGCAGCAGCAGCAGCAGCAGCAGCAGCAGCAGCAGCAGCAGCAGCAGCAGCAGCAGCAGCAGCAGCAGCAGCAGCAGCAGCAGCAGCAGCAGCAGCAGCAGCAGCAGCAGCAGCAGCAGCAGCAGCAGCAGCAGCAGCAGCAGCAGCAGCAGCAGCAGCAGCAACAGCAGCAGCAGCAGCAGCAGCAGCAGCAGCAGCAGCAGCAAGGGTGTTCACCATCACATGGTTCTCATGATGGGCTGAAGCAAGTCGTGGTATCGATTCTTGAGGCACCTTAGGAATAGGCAATGTGGCAGTAGTGGCACCAGCAGCAGCAGCTGCAGCAGCGGCAGCAGGAGTGTTGACCACTGAATGGATCTCACGATGGTGGGCTGTAGCAGGTGCAGGAGCAGCAGCGGTCGCCATCATCGGCTCAAAACCCTGACCCGTTGGCAAAGGCAGAGTCAGCATGCTGACATGTACTCGTCCTAATGACTTGTTGACATCATCTTTCGTCAGGGGCTCCTCGTCATGGAACCCTTCGGACTCAGGGACTAGCGCCATGACTTGATGATCAGTCCAGCCCTCCACTGGGAAAGCTCCCAATGGGATCAAATCACTGAGGGCTGACTCTTCCATGGTGCTGTGTGTCGTGCCCGGAATCACTTCAAGTAAATCCGTGGGATGAGATGTCGCTGCAACGTCCGTCCAGACTTCCATCGGTGCCATTGGAGCGCAATTTCCGGTTGCTCCCCCAGTTTGCCGCACCTTCCACTTGATGTGTAGTCCGTCGCAGTTTGCAGCACATTCTGGGGAGCAATGGAAGTCGAGGAAAGGCAGCGGGGCATTCGGGAGGTCCATGGCACTGGCACTCTTGACACGCCGCCTCAGAAGGTAGATCCGTGGCTCTGGCACTTCTGCTGGCCAGTACTGCAACTGGCCGCAACCCTCAGGGTTTAAAGAGTACGAGATAACTAATCTATATTGTGGTAGAGTCTCTCGTCCGCCAGGAGAATGATCTAAGGCAGCGAAAGATCTCTTGCCTGGTACTATTAGGAAGAGCAAAAAGAAAACGGTGCCCCAGACCGTTGGTTCCACCACTGAAGCCTGCAGCCTTCTGACGAATCCAAGAGTACAAGTAGAGTACAAGCGCTTCATTCTACAACCTGCTGTGTCTATCGCCGCTCTCTAGCCCCGCCCTGTCCTACGCCCGCGCACTCCCACAGTCGCATGTATGGTGGTGTGATCATCGCTGACATGCCTCCGCGATTCAATTAGGTATGCATCTCATTGGCTAGAAACATTCTTCGGCTGCGAGGTGGGTGGTTGAGAGACAACTAAATGATAGTATGCCCGACGTAAACGATGTGGCAGTGTCACGTCCGGCGGAATCATGATGATATGAGAGCTGTGGCGCCGACGCCAAGTGTAGTACTCGCGTCACTCCTGGCAGGAGTGTTAGTGCTGCTCCGGATCTTCAATGTGATTGGTTTGTAGTACTACAGGCAGTGCTGTCAGGAGTGTTGCACGTCGCTGGGAGGGGAAGGCTAATACCCCATGTTGGATCTCTTGGAGAGAGCAGCCCAAAGAAACGAATTATTCGTCTGACGGTTCTTGCCAAGCGAGACGTGTGGCTCATCGAATTTTGCAAAATCCCCAAATGTTTGATGACTGTGGGAGCACAACCAACCTACTAAGCACCCACTAGCCGTTGCGAGGCCCTGGTTAAAGCCCGAGTCTAGAATGGTTAGAGTTCAAGTTCAAGTTTCTTGAAGTAGAAATAGCCAAAAACCAGGTAACCCGGTTTGGGACTTCCACACCCTCGCGACCCACGGGGTTTGGTTCGAATGAAGTGTTTCTGATTGGTTGAAATCAACGCTGGCAAAATGATCAACACTTTCGCCTCAAACGGGTCACTGTTCATACTTCCGGAAACTTGAAGCCAAAACTCACCATAATAGACTCGATACCTAGGAGGCTCCATAGCGTAGAATATTGTAGTTGTCTCCCAGCACACTCAATCCCGTCCATTCAGACTCTCTCGTCCCCGTCACACTCGTGACTCCTTGCCATCGCTAACGTCCCGCCAATCGCTATCGTCGCCCTTGTCGCTCTCGTCGCTGTCGCCCTCGCTTCCTTAGATTGTCACTTGCTTTGCCCCTGCCCGTCGCCCTCGCTTCCTTAGATTGTCACTTGCTTTGCCCCTGCCCGTTGCCCTCGCTTCCTTAGATTGTCACGGACGCCCGCAGCTCACTCACGCCCGTCGTTCATTTCACTCCCGTCAATCACTCGCTTGTAGCTCACTCTCGCTCTTCCCTCACTCACGCTCGTTCACCCTTACTCCCTTTGTTCGCTCTTCGGCCCTTTTCTCCGCGCTGCTTCCTCCCGTCGCTCCCGCTCCTCTCGTCCCTCCCGCCCCTCATCCCGCTCCCGTCCCTCTTCCCGTCGCTCCCGTCCCTCCCATCCCTCCTGTCCCTCCCATCACCCACATCGCTCTCGTCACCCACGCCGCTCCCGTCGCCCACCGTCGCTCCCGTCGCACCCGTCGCTCCAGTTGCCCACGTCGCTCCCGTCGCCCACGTCACTACGGTCGCCCACGTCGCTCCCGTCGCCCATGTCGCGCCCGTCGCCCACGACGCGCCCGTCGCCCACATCGCTCCCATCGCCCACATCGCTCCCGTCGCCCACGTCGCTCCCGTCGCCCACGTCGCTCCTGTCGCCCACGTCGCTCCCGTCGCCCATGTCGCTCTCGTCGCCCACATCGCTCCCGTCGCCCACGTCGCTCCCGTCGCCCACGTCGCTCCCGTCGCCCACGTCGCTCCCGTCGCCCACGTCGCTCCCGTCGCCCACGTCACTACGGTCGCCCACGTCGCTCCCGTCGCCCATGTCGCGCCCGTCGCCCACGACGCGCCCGTCGCCCACGTCGCTCCCGTCGCCCACGTCGCTCCCGTCGCCCACGTCGCTCTCTTCCCTTAGCTTCCCTTCCCTACGCGCAGGTTCCCCCCTTCCCTTCGAACAGTTTCCCCTTCATATTGCTCACTCACACCCATCGCTCACTCGCACCCACCCACCGCTCACTCACACCCACCGCGAGCTCCCTTCCATCTATGCCTCACTCCCCCCTTGAGTCTCCCATTCCCTTCCCACGCCCTCCGTCCCTCTTCCCTCACTCTCAGCCGCACGCCTTCCTTCACCGCTCCTCTCCTCCCATCCCTCTCCCATGTCTCCCTTCCCTCCCTCTCACTTCCCTTTTTTCCCCATCGGTTCCCCCTCCCACTCCTCCCTTGCCTCTCGTCGACCTTCCTCGGAGTTCGAGGCATTTGAAGCCTATACTTGTCACATATGATCTCAGTGTGCCTTACGGTCAAAACGAGCGGGATAAGTACGGAGCCTATACTTGTCACATATGATCTCAGTATGCTTATTTCTCCTGCCAGCCAAAAAAATTGGAATTCCGTTCCAGTGGACGCGTTTCCCGGGCAGGTTCGGTTGCTAACGATCGAGGCGAACCAAATTTGACATCAGGCTGAGTAGGATGCTGATTATAAGAGTATATTTTATTCCCGGCCAGCACGAAGTTCCGTTAGTTGTTTGTAAGACGGGAACTGTACTTCACGCGTGCTCTCCATTTAACGACTAGTTCACAAAAACGACAGGCTCCAGAGTGTCCGCACAATTTCGCAGCTGTTAGTCGTGACGGTTGATGGTGGCCTTTTGCTTAGAGACATTCCAGCTTTCGTACACAGTCCCACCAACGCCTTGTAAGTCACCGCCATTTCTAGTCAGACTACATTAGCGCTACGGCAACCACCGCCATTGCTTGCAGGCCTGAACGAGGTACATTGGAAACTGGGTCGGTGTGGAGGAAGGAATGATGCAAAGGCGATAATATATCTGGTCCAGCCGTGAACGTTAGAAATCAATGGCTCAGGTGAAGTTTCGGCGCCTGACAAATGCGGCGTCAATCAGCCCCATGCGAAAGTGACGACAAGAGAAGGGGAAAATATGCATTTTGTGACACTTATGACTCTCAAGAACGAGTATGATAACTTTTACAGTAATTTCGTGCGTTTGGAAACTCGCTTCATGCGTTTAGAAACTCGCCTCACGCATTTGGTAACCCCAAGACTGGAGATGTTCACGCGAATGGTGACCAATGTTTCTACTTCTTTTCTTCGATTCAGCTGATTGACGCAAGTTGATTATTGTTGAATCAAAGTTGTTTGATTGAACCAGTTGTTAAAATTGTTACAAATAGTGAAATACTATTGTGCACTCTTAACCACAACTAAGTGAAGCACGCAGTATCGAGAATGAATGCGAAGAGTCAGAGTTGACTCGAAGCGACGCAGACGGTTAGAATGGGTCTAGACCGTCGGAGCAGACGGCATCGGGCAACTTCAAGTTCAAAGGAATTGGCGGGAACAGTTTCGTAACTGTTCGAGTCGCACGGTTGGTTTGACTTTGAATAAGGGAATGTAACCATTAGAGTACATGGCTAGCTAGGTCGTTTCGTATTCCCCTGTACTACTAGTTATATGCTTGTACTTGCATGTTTTAATCATCTCAAGCATTTTACATTCACTCTGTTTTGGGGTCAATGACCACCACTACCAATCAGATGCGTGCGAACTTTCTCGAGGCAATCCTAGGGTCGATTGATCTCTGATCGTAGCATGGTATAAGAGCGGCTCGAGAATCCTTCACGCTTCCTCCTCTGAAACCTTCGGCAAACGAAAGGTGGCGCCCGGCACACGGTCGCGTGTAAGGATGGCCGGAGGATCTGGTGGTCAGACGAATCTGACGGCTGAAGCGCAAACCAACCTGGCTGCGATAGATGATTAAACGGCGACGATCGGTACCGCCGTCCTCGTACAACTGCTTCAGCGACTCACCAGCCTGGAGCAAGGACTCCAAACATTCCGGTATGGCGACGCGGGAACTTCCTCCCAACTCGCTCAACCGGCCTCAAACGGCCAGAACACCACCCCGCACACCTTCTCCCTCGACACAAATGGCTCAACTCCCAAGACTCCCCGTCCCAGCAAAGAAGCAATTCTCTGTGCGCAATCAAGGTTTCTGAGTATATTAAAAATAAAGACATGTGTCTGTTTTGTCGGCATGGATTTTTATACCTGGAGCTTCGAGCTGGAGCTTCTGCTGCAGAAAGCGCAGATATTCCGCTATTTCGATGGGAGCTACGCGGAACCCGCCGAGGACACCGCCGACGCCAGGGCGGAGTCTCTGATGTCGCCGGTAGAGCAGCTGAGCATTCGCTCATACAAGACATCTGATGCCCCAGCCCTCGACGCTTGGCGCCGCTTGAATGGCGTGTATCAACTGAAGGATTCGGTTTCTTCGTGTCTCTTGCTCTAGCAGTTACTGGAGTCAAAAATGGCCCCATAGGAGAAGACCAATAGCTACATCAATCACTCTCGGATCCTCCAATATCAAATCGCGAAGTTGGGAAGCAGCATATCCGAAGAAATCTTCATGAATATCGTGCTTCAAGGGCTCGGCCCAGAGTGGCAGCCCTGCAAGGTGCTTCTTCGACAGTAGGGGGTCATCTTGGAGGCCGCCCTCTGCGCCGCCCTTCTCGTCGAACAACGGGATATGGATCAGCAGCGACCAGCGCCGCGATGAGACTGGGAACGCCTCGCCTTCTATGCCGACAATGCTGAAGAGCGACGGCCGCGGCGCCTTTACTAAAAAATTTGCAGAAACTTCGGGCTCCTGGCAGATCGATGCAAGTCTTGATCTTGCCCTCGCCAGACCCATCCGAACAACTTGTCCAGCCGACAAGACGCACGAGGCTACGTGCGTCCAGCCCAGGGGTATCAACCCCCATCGCGCAACCTGAACCCAGCGGCTCAGCATCACCAGCAGCAGCCGTCACCGCCTGCCCCGGCACGCAATGTCATGGGGAATATGGCCATGAATGGCGAATCTCGTCGTCGCCGCGTGCGCTCACCGTCACCAGAGCCAGCACGTCACCCAATCGGTGCGTTCTCCAACAACTACCCGTTCTACACATGCCACGATTTCAGCGACGACGATGACCAAGATCGGAAGGGAATTTCTGGCTCTGGTGTTGACCACCTCCAATGATGAAGAGGAAATATCAGAAGAAGCAGCAGCGGAACCTGGCGAAGACCCCAAAGAAGCCCACACGTGCTACATACGCACCTCTCGATTCTGCGCCAGCGATGACCTCTGGCACCAGCGCCTCCGGCATCCCTCACGCGCGATGCTGAATAACTGCATCAACGCTGGAGTTTTCGCATCTGGCGCACTCCTACGCCCTGACGGCACCGAAATGAGAGGCACAACACATCCGTGCAATTGCACCGTCTGCCCCGAAGCTGCGCTAAATCACCAGCCGTTCCCACTGCTCTCACTAGAAACCACCGCTACCCCAAACTGCACAAGGTGTACAGCGACTTCATCAACGTGGGGCATTGCGGAGTGAAGGACGAGCTGTATACGCTCACCTTCATTGACGCCGGGACGCGCTACGTGTGGGTCGTGAATGAAGAAGCACGCAGCAGGCCATACGAATTGTCCGCCTGTGGCTGGCGCACACGCTGCGACAATCTGGGGAAAAGGTTAAAAAAATGGGAATCTGACGGTGCGGCGGGATTCACGAGCAAGGAGCTGCATGACTACCCGGCGCAAAACGGGATCGACCATCATATCTCTGTCAGAATTCTATAATTGTTTAGTCTGCAATGGGGTACTCTATAATGAGTACAGCCCAAATTAGGATTTGCTACATGTATTCTATTTGCTGCTAGTGCAACCCCTCTTTCCTGTTTCAACTTTCTCTTTACTGTTTCTGACGCTCTCTTCCCTACGAGCACCAACAGCAAGGTGTAGCTGAGCGCACGAATCGCATGCTCATGACAAAGGTGCGGGCGATAATGAAGCAGTCAAAGCTTCCGCCAATCTACTGGACCTACGCGATGCACCATGCCGTGCGGGTGCACAATCTACTATCAACCATCACCATCACCGATAATTTGTCCCTTTCATCTGAAGTGGGACGGGGCAAAGGGGGACACATCCATGCTCCGCTTGTGAGGGTGCATGGTTCAGTATCACCTGCCGACGTCAACTATCGAAAAAGTTCGCTAGCCGCGCGTGCCGGGGAATTCATCTCGGCACCAGCCACGAGCACAAGCCATGCATCATCTTGGATCTACTCAGCCAGAAGACCACCCATGAACGCGAGTCGCGTTTACGTGAATGACGGGCACAACTACGCAAAACTTAAGGGCGAAGCCGCCGCAGCAATCATGGAGCAGGATACCAAAGGCGAATTCACAAGAAGAGACTGCCACAGCCGCGATGACGGTGACGACGATTCCCCTGAGGGAGGAATCGGCTGAACAGGAGGAAGTGGTAGAGTCGCAGCGCCACCAGCACCACCTAAGCCAAAAAGCGACGACGACGACGTGCAGGAGGTTATCCCGCAGCATTGCCACGACAGCACAGTCTCCGGGCTGTAGCTTCTCGGGTTCCACACCGCCATCTCAACGGCGCCACGTGTCATCGAACAAAAAAATCCGCGCCAAGCTCTCACTGAACCATACAGCAATGAATGGCGTGAAGCGATGGATGTGGAAATTAACGCGCTCGAATCTCGATACACATGGGTGCTCGTCAACCGCGCCACAATCAAGGGAGCAAGGATTTTTTTCGGCACGTGGGTCTTCCGCTTGAAGACCACTACAGACAGCACTATCGAACGGTTCAAGGCACGCTGGGTGGTGCGTGGCTACGACCAGATGCACGGGATTGATTTCGATCAAACATTTGCACCGATCAGCCGTCACACCTCCGTCAGAATTTTGCTCGCCATCGCCGCTGCAAGGCACTTGCCACCGCACCAAAACCAACGTGAAGAACGTGTTCTTGTATGCGTTAGTAGATGCAGTCATCTACGTGGAGCAGCCGCACACGTACGGAGAAGGAGACTCGCGTGTTAATGAGCTGCGCAAGTCCCTTTATGGGATCAAACAAGCGCCAAGG